TAAAACCATTGCCAACACATGAATGCAAATGACACATAGCTTTAAAACCATTGCCAACACATGAATTCAAATGACACATAGCTTTAAAACCATTGCTTCCACATGAATGCAAATGACACATAGCTTTAAAACCATTTGCCTACATGAATGCAAATAACACATAGCTTTAAAACCATTGCCTCCACATGAACGCAAATGATCAACACATAGCTTTAAAACCATTTGCCAACACATGAATGCAAATGACACACAGCTTCAAACCATTGCCTCCACACAATGCAAATGACACATAGCTTTAAAACAATTCTTCTCCATATGAATGCAAATGACATAGCTTTAAAACCATTTCTAGCCACATGAATGCAAATGACACATATCTTAAAAACAATTCATCTCCACATGAATGCAAATGACACATAGCTTTAAAACAATTCTTCTCCACATCAATGCAAATGACATAGCTTTAAAACCATTTGCATCCACATGAATGCAAATGACACATAGCTTTAAAACAATTCATCTCCACATGAATGCAAATGACATAGCTTTTAAACCATTTCTAGCCACATGAATGCAAATAACACATAGTTTTAAAACCATTTGCATCCACATGAATGCAAATGATCAACACATAGCTTTAAAACAATTCTTCTCCACATCAATGCAAATGACATTTAAAACCATTTGCATCCACATGAATGCAAATGACACATAGCTTTAAAACCATTGCATCCACATGAATGCAAATGACACATAGCTTTAAAACCATTGCTTCCACATGAATGCAAATGACACATAGTTTCAAAACCATTGCCTCCACATGAATGCAAATGACACATAGCTTTAAAACCATTGCCTCCACATGATTGCAAATAAATGCACAAAGTAGACATCCGCAATTTATTTAAACACATTCGTAACATTCAAACCTGTCCATAAGGAGTTTTTAAGTTGGCCAAATTCTTCTGTTTTTGCTTCCAGATTTATCACTTACGTTAATGGTTTTTGCAGCCTCTGGTTTGGAGAGCCAAGAATCTCACCCAAAGTACATTCTATTCGACCAAGAAAATCCTGAAAAAATCAATCACAATTTTATAAGTAACCGTGTTTTGTAATTAACGATGTGCAAACAAAATGTTCTGAATTAATTTGTATATGAACTATGTTTATATGCACAAATTATTTATTTACTGAAATCAAATAAATACTGCAATTCATTATGCAATATGAAATAATTAATATTCACAATTTATTGATGTCAGATAATATAACATGATAAGTTAGGAAACATTAGCGTCACTTACGTGTGCCCCGAGTCTCTGTTTTGGCGAGTCCACATCATATCTATTACAAGATCACAAACTGTTATTAATTGCATATAAATATGACAATATCTCTCACAGTGTCATATACTATAAATAAACATCCATGTTTTAAATTGCCACTCAATGAATATTATTTTTAACAAAAGACACCTTGAAAATGTTATGCTAATTTAAATATGGATAAGTAATTAGCATAACAATTACTGATATTGTTATCTACAAAATTTAAGCATGCTAGCACAGCTTTAAACTATCTGAAGAGAATACTGCTATTTAGTACAACCTCTCTTATTTTGCTGACAAAATTAGGGGAAGATAAAAAAAAATCATAATTAATCATGATACACGTATATTGATTGAAACAATGATACAGTCTGATGATGACTTAATAATTATTTGATACCTGGAATGAGATTGTGTTATTACTAAGATTGATTGCAGTGTACTAGACAAGCTGTCTAAGTTCTTGTATCCCAGAATTCACTGTAATAATAATTTCTGCATACTTACAATTCAAATTTCAGTTTTTGTAGTTCTTCAAAATAATAATTCACTATAAATTTATGCACAAAGTCTGGGTTTAAAGTGTTCTGGATTTGTTCTGTACGTTCATACTGTAGAGAAGAAAGAAATAATTGTATTGGTAAAATAGTTGTTGCTATTGCCAGCTTACAGTACATGTATATATAAAATAGTCCTGTTTTTTTTTAGTTTTTACATTGTTGAATTGTACAATCATGTAGCATGCAACCTTTTTATAGCAGCTAGCCAATTAAAAAAAAGCTAACTGTATGAAATTACGGTTTTCAATATGCAATAAACACTTTCATAAATACTTTCACTTCATTCACTGTACAAGAATAAAAATTTGTTTACTAGCAAAAAAAAACAAACAGCCTTTGTGGTGACAAATCTAAAAAAAATTGAGTGAAAATTCGTCATGTCAATTCTGGTTCAGAACAGGAAGTATAGGAAAATTCATCTAATTATCTCAAGATTATGTGATTATTTGTTTATGAAATTTATGTGGATTATTAAAGTCATCAATAAAATAAAATCTATTTAACATTACTCATTAGACTAGGTCATTATTAATGAGAGAGTAATTCTATTCGCAACTAGGGATCTCCCCAACACAATATGCAAATGCATGGAAAATTCCACTGTACATGTCTAATATCAGTTGAACATAACTGAATAATTCAATGTACTGAGAACCTAATTAATCACAATACATGTAATTCTTGTTTTTATGGCCAAAATAAGTTCAGCGTAGTTAAAAATTTACACAGTGCTAATTTAGTCAATCAAAATTAGTCATTTTGTGGTTTACTGATGTTGACCAGCATGGAAAAGATATTTCATAATTATATTTCCTCACAAATACAAAATAACATAGTAAAATTATGGATGGCCTTGTCTTGAAAAATTTACTTTGAAATATCCTTTTAAAGTCATTTATATATATAAAATTTTAATGTACTTGAGAATCTCAATTCTAGCCTTTATTGTAAATTATCTATATTATATAAGATAATATAATTGATAATGTATATATGTGTTGTACCAACATTTCTCTAATAAAAGCACATCTCCAACAGAAGCATGCATAAACCAAAACATGCATCTATTTTATCCTTGATTATAAATATTTTTACTTATTTTGACCATACAAATACCTCTGCCATTTATGTAAGCAGATGTGTTGCTATTATAGTAATAACTATCTGCATATGTAGAAACAGTGCTACCTCATTCCATAATTTAATTAATAAACAAATTTAAATGTTTGCTATAAGGTGTCATAGTATTGATGAGCAAGAATTTATATCTTCAAAAACAAATATCAAATGACAGCAGCCAGTTCAACGAATTTAAATAAAACATGAAATATTGGCTACGTCCTGATTTGGGACTTTGGATACTCAAAATAAGAGATAAACAGACAACATCAAGTAACAATAGGCTAATTTTCGCTTCGGTCGAGATCTCGCGAGATCGTTAAATTTGCCTAGCAACCGGTTGCTAGTCATGTGATACAGGACAAGCTTTGAATCAAAATAGCACTAAATCGTGCGTGCGCCTAATGTCGTGCGTTAAATTTCCGAGTGATTTCTTGCATCTGTTTCACGTTTTCGCTAAAGCTGTGCCTGATTTAGAGCTCGAGGAAGACCCTGATTTTTTACGCCATGATCCTAAAAAATGACGTTGCTTCAAGACTTAGCAAACTTGGTTGCAATTTCACCGATCCTTTGAAATTACTGGGCTACTCTAGTGATTTCAGGAATGTTCCAGAATTCGGCTTGTCTGATGTTTTAATGTGTTATCGGTCCGGGCATGTTTAATTGTAACATCTGTCTGTGTACTGGCATTGCATGTCAAAGGCACATATTTCACATTACTGCTACTTTCACCATTACTAGCGTGAACAGCTTTTGAGGTTCCAAACAAACAACGGGAAACGGCCAATATTCCACACAATAGTTCATATGAATAACAGGAATCTGTTGACACTGCATGATATGCACACGCATCCATACAAATAACAGGAAACTGTCAATATTGCTTATTGTACACAACAAGCATGCTTTAAAAATACATAGCTTGAAAATTCATAACTTTTCAACATAGAAGGGAAGTTAAATAAAACTATTTTTAAAACCCGGTAGTAGTATGAGTATTAAATTGTACAAGTATTACATATTACAATTTAATTCTGCACTTAGTAATAGAATTATTTCACTTGCCAACATGCAGGCTTAGCTCTTTGTCAGGAGAGGTATTTTCTAACTTTGTGGCAATATTGTTATCATTAAATGCATAGCTATTCGCATTTAAATCCTTTTTCAAATTCTGAGGTAACAGTAATGTCAGGAATCTCGTTTTCATCGGGAATACTAATGATAAGACAATTTAAGATGTACACTTGTGAATTTTAAATAACAAACAATGGTCAATCCCATGCTAAACCATATTTTATTCAGAATCGCAATAAAATACACGATCATAAAATTAAAACATTATTGCTGGCATGAAAACAAGCACGGTAAATTTCCGATCAGTACAACTTGCAAGAGAAAGTTAAACCGTATCAACAGGTTTCAATGTTTTCCGGCACTTCTTTTGATTGCCGCTCAGCGATGTTTTCGACTCGAATATATGGCATTCAACACCTCTCACAGTTGCTGGTATGCGACTCCGTAGGATATTCCCTCCCACAAAGTGCAGGGAACAAGTGTACGTGTCCTGAATGAATCTGTGTTGACCAAAATTGTCTGCCCGATAACAGGCACTAATCCATCGATCCATTTGACTCCCATTGGGACAGATATCGTTTCGTGATGAGATTTACACCCCAGGTTTACAACACGTAGGACAATGTGATTGCTACCATATTGAACCGAAAGCTTGACCTGTATCACGTGACTCAATTGGTTGCCAAGGTGCGTAAACCGTGGTCACGCATGATCTCGCAGCTTGCGAAACATGGCTTATTAGAGATCGTCTTGTATAGATTGAATCTGGGTGAGAATTTTTCAGTGCAATAGCTCAGTATAATGAAGGATTTTCAGTTGTGTAACGTGTGAAAGACGTGGAGCGAATTTCTGCAGAAACAATTGACCATTATCAAGTGTATACCCCATAAATAGAATCCCACACAGTGTCTTGACATGACTATGATCTTTGTTTGTTCTGTTTTTACCTTATATTTCACACACAACATGGAATCTCACAGTGAACGGAAAATGATATACTGTAGAATACTTTATTTTCGCTTGGAATTTATTT